AGTATCGCACCAATAACCTTTAGAGAAGTCATTTGGTTTGTAAGTTTCAAAAATGGAAAAGCCTAGAAGGCTTGCAAGGCAGTCCAAAAAACAAAGCCTTCGCGCCAGCACTGGGGAGACCTGGGTTAGCCACGTGCAACGACCTTCCCCCTGAATTCTTAATTTACCTTCTCTGGTTTCACTGTCATAAATGAGGACTTTTGATCCCTCCAGGACAATGTACTTCCTGTCCCAGCCTTGCTGTCCTCGTTTGTTATTCCTGGAGAAAGAAGGATGGAAAAGAAAAATGTCTGAACTCGGAAGAATCATCAGGCTGGGGATGGGATGGGAGGAGGACGGGATGAGGGGGTGGCAGAGGTGGGAGAGTTCCTAGAAAAGACACTTCCCTAGAAAACATCAGGGACAGAGTGGCTTGTGCCAGCACCTGCTCCAGCCCAAGCCACCCTGCCACAGTACCTGGGCACCTTCATCCACCCTTCCAGGTGCAAGCTGCTGCTGGGCTCCTTGGTCTGGAGACCCGGAGAGTTCATTTTGTCGCGGCAGAAGGCCTCGGTGAAGTGTGTGGCATATTCAGCAGGCAGTCCGCAGGTGGCTGGCAAGCACGTGGAGCACTTGGGGTGACACATCACCTGACATTCTAGAAAAGAACAGTGAGCCACCTGAGGGCATGCTCAGCCGACCCTGGACTCTTCCCTTCCTCTGCCAGCCAACCCCAGGGCTTCTCTACCCCCAGCCAGGCCCAGAGAGCCTGGCCCTGACTTGCAGGTAGTCTCCTGAGCTTCCCTGGTGCCAGGCCCATGCAGAAAAGGGAAACGAAAGTGCCAAGTGCTCTTGACCCAGTTTTCCAGGCTTCAATCCAGGTTGCCCACAAACAGGTGTGTAAAGAACATGTCTGCACATTTCCATTGGAGCCAGCGGAAACGTAGGGAGAGACCAGCCTGACAAAAAGGGGCTGGGAATTAGCAAAGCCCAAGGCACTTTGAGCATCAGGTTAGAGTCATGAGCTGCAGACATATATAAACTCACAGCTTTAACAGGGGAAAAATAGCATCCTCCCACTGAAATAAGAAGCCCGAAAATGAATGCACTACATGATGGGTTAGGAAAAAATCACCTCCACCTGATAAGACTTTTTTTAGCTGGAGACACACAGGTGCCCAGCACACATGCACAGATGCTGATCTTACCAAGACATTTGGATGCCTGGCGTCCAAAGTGCACGGTATCCAAACAAACAGCACACTTTGTGGCCCGCATGTTCAGTCCTACGTTGAATCGGTGAGGAATATTGTGGTGCATGCGTTCCTTAAGACGCCGACTAAATTCTGGAGGAAAATGTTTTTAAAAATCATTAGGGTACTGCAAACAATACCAACAGGAAAGTGAAAAGACAACCCACAGAATGGGAAAAAATACTTGCAAATCAAATTTCTGATAAGAGACACATATCTAGAATATATAAAGAACTCTTATGACTCAATAATAAAAAGACAACCCAATTTTAAAATGAGCCAAGAATTTAAATAGACACCTCCCCAAAGAGGATAAATGGCCAACGAGCACATTAAAAGATGCTCAACATTATTAGTCATTAGGGAGATGCAAATCGAAACCCCAAGCAGACACCACTTCACAACCACTAGGATGTCTACAGTCTAAAACAAGGAAAATAAGTTGCTGAGGATATGGAGAAACTAGAACCCTCACACATTCCTGGTGAAAATGTAAAAATGGTGCAGCTACTTTGGAACTCAGTCTGGTAGTTCCACAAATGGTTAAACATGGTTACCCCAGGACCCAGCAATTCCGCTCCTAGCCATATACCCAAGGGGACTGAAAGCATATGTACCCACAAAAATCTGCACATAAATGTTCACAGAAGCATAATTCATGACAGCTAAAAAGTAGAAACAACCCAAATGCCCATCAATGGTGATATGATTTGGCTGTGTCACCGCCCAAATCTCATCTTGAATTACAGCTGCCATAATTCCGATGTGTTGAGAGGGACCTGGTGGAAGATAATAGAATCACGGGGGTGATTTCACCCATACTGTTCTTGTGGTACTAAAAAAGTCTCACAAGATCGGATGGTTTCATAAGGGGAAACCCCTCTCGCTTAGTTCTTATTCTCTTTTGCCACTGCCATGTAAAGACATGCCTTTTGCCTTCCACCATGATTGTGAGGCCTCCCCAGCCACATAGAACTGTGAATCTATTAAACTTCTTTTTCTTTATAAACTACCGAGTCTCGGGTATATCTTTATGAGCAGCATGAAAATGGACTAATACAAATGGATTAACGGATAATCAGATGTGCCATCTACACAATGGAATATTATTCGGTCATGAAAGGAATGAAGTTCTGATACATGCAACAACACAGATGAACCTTGAAAACATTACATTCCATGAAAGAACCCAGACACAAAAGGCCACATGCAGTATGATTCATCTATATGAAATGTCCAAGAGACCAAATCCACAGAGACAGAAAGTAGACTGGCAGTTGCCAAGAGGAAAATTAGTGGAAGGAGAATGTGGGGGACTGATAATGGGTATGGAGTATTTTTTGGGTGGCGGTGCCAAAATCATTCAAAAAATTAGAATGTGATGAGAGTTACACAGCCCTGTAAACTTACTGAAAAAGGCTGAATTGTACATTTTTAATGAGTGAACTGTACAGTATGCAAATTATATCTCAATAAAACCTTTAGAACAGGTTAGTTACAGACTGTGAAACTATTTTAACACTAACAGATGCATCTAGATTTATAAAACTCAACCTAAAATCTCCATTATCCAGTTATTAGGAATCAGTCTTTGTTTAAGAACATATTAGTGGTACGAGATTGACTATTTAATGGCATAGATGTCTGTGGGCATAAAGAAACATAAGCTTTTAAATCAGTTGTAAATATTTTAGTCATGAAAGCTTTGTTTTCCATGTATCTAGAGCTTTTCAGAACCCAATTTAAAAAATCACTATTATGAATTATAGAATTTCTAATTATCAAAAATATAAAACTGAAGAATTCTTTTACGTCCAGTTTTTCCATGAATAAATTCCTTTTGTTTAAAATCCAACTTTTATGAATATAAGAATTTAAATATAAATGTAAGAACAGATTCCTACATTTGTATTCTAGACTGTTAAAATTAAGAACATTAGCCAGGTGCAGTGGTTCATGCCTATAATCCCAACACTTAGCAAGGCAGAAGTATGAGGACTGCTTGAACCTAGGAGTTTAAGACCAGCCTGGGCAATGTAGTGAGACCCTGTTCTCCACAAAGAGAAAAAAAAATTACAAGATTGATTTTTTTCCATTTAATAGGCACCCTCTCAACAGTGACCTAACTAATTAGAAGCAACTTTCAATATAGTAATCCACCCTTATGCTCAGGGGTTATATTCCAAGACCCCAGAGGATGCCGGGAACCACCGATGGTACTGAATTCTGTATATACTGTTTTTTCAATCTGATAACCAAGACAGGTAGTACGTGACTGACAGACAGGAAGTAAATACAGTGTGGATATGCAGGACAAAGGGATGATTTGCATCCCAGGCAGGAATGGAGCAGGACTGTGTGCAATTTCTTCCTGCAACTTGGAGTGGCACACAATTTAAAACTTAACAATTGTTTATTTCTGGAATTTTCCATTTATTATTTTCAGACTGCAGATGACCACTTAACCGAAACCACGGAAAGGGAAACCACGGATAATAGGGGACTACTATGGAGAGAAAATCTCAGGATCCAAGTTTCTGAATCCAACTCTGATATGCTCTCCTTATAACATCCCTCCTTCCTTTCTTGGAAAGGTGCAAGGAATAAATAACAGGAATGCACTTTGAAACTGTTTGGTGCAATATACATGAAGAAGCAATATACTGCAGTATTATCACTATTCAGGGAAGTTTCACAGCCAGAAGCACTGCTTTCCTCTATGTTGTCATCACTATTTTTTTATTTTTTATTTATTTATTTTTTTTTTTTGGAGACAGAGTCTTGCTCTGTCACCAGGCCAGAGTGCAGTGGCGCAATCTCGGCTCACTGCAACCTCCACCTCCTGGGTTCAAGCGATTCTTCCGCATCAGCCTCCCGGGTAGCTGGGACCCCAGGCGCGTGCCACCACATCCTGCTAATTTTTTTTTGTATTTTTAGTAGAGACAGGGTTTCACAGTGTTGGCCAGGATGGTCTCGATCTCTTGACCTCATGATCCACCCACCTCGGCCTCCCAAAGTGCTGGGATTACAGGCGTGAGCCACCGCACCCGGCCTGTCATCACTATTTTAATGACTTTAAGAGTAAAGCTCTTTGGTAGGGCACCGTGGCTCATGCCTGTAATCTCAGCACCTTGGGAGGCCAAGGCAGGTGGATGGCTTGAGGTCAGGAGTTCAAGACCAACCTGGCCAATATGGTGAAACCCCCATCTCTAGTACAAATACAAAAAAATTAGCAGGTCATGATGGCACACACATGTAATCCCAACTATTTGGGAGACCTAAGCACGAGAATCACCTGAACTTGGGAGGCAGAGGCTGCAATGAGCTGAGATCACGCTACTGCTCTCCAAGCCTGGACGACAGAGTGAGACTCTGTCTCAAAAAAAAATTTTTTTTTAAGTAAAGCTCTTTGATTCAAGGAGTTATATAAGAAAAGGACTTCTGGCTAAAGAAAAACAGCAGCAACAACAAAACACCATCCGGTTTACAACCAAAACAGGTTTGATTGCAATGCCGTGATGCTAAACCACAGCTCTACCCTGGTCTTCCTAGGACACTCAAACCAGCGTTCTTGGCTTTTTTAAAAGTCCTTTTCAGCTCTAGGTAAACAGAGTACATTTGAGACCAGAAAGAAAACTCCTCACACTGTCGGTAGAAATAGACATTGGCACAAACTACCAACTCTCAAAATGTACATAACCTTTAACCCAGTGATTCATTTCCCAGGAATGTCTCCAAGCACAACACCCACAGAGGCACAGAATGTCCTCTGCAAGGTGTTTACGGTAACAAGGGATTGGAAACAACCTAAATGGCCATCAGCAGGAGTCTGAATTAACAGATGAATTGCATAGTCACACCATAGAATACCGTGTGGTTTTCTGAAAGGATGGGGTAGGTCCTTAGGTACTAATATGAAACCCTCTAAGATAGCATTTTAATGAAATGAAAGTGTCTTGCACTGTACACTGTAGTGTGCTATCATATTTATAAAAGAAAAAAGTCCTGAGAGAGAGATGTGCTTTTTGTTGTTGTTGTTGTTGTTTTTGAGATGGAGTTTCACTCTTGTGCAGGCTGGAGTGCAGTGGCACAATCTCAGCTCACTGCAACCTCTGCCTCCCAAGTTCAAGCAATTCTCCTGTGTCAACCTCCTGAGTAGCTGAGATTACAGGCATGCACCACCACGCCTGGCTAATTTTGTATTTTTAGTAGAGATGGGTTTCTCCATGTTGGTTAGGCCGGTCTCAAACTCCTGACCTCAGGTGATCCACCCGCCTCAGACTCCCAAAATGCTGGGATTACAGCCGTGAGCAACCGTTACGATATTTATAAAAGAAAAAAGAGCTGAGAGAGAGATCTTTTCATACTGTTTGTTTGTTTAAGATGAAGTCTCGCTTTATCACGCAGGCTAGAGTGCAGTGGTGTTAGCTCACTGCAACCTCCACCTCCTGGATTCAAACTATTCTACTGCCTTAGCCTCGTAAGTAGCTGGGACTACAGGAGCATGCCACCACACCCAGCTAATTTTTGTATTTTTAGTAGAGACGAGGTTTCACCATGTTGGCCAGGCTGGTCTCAAAATCCTGACCTCAGGTGATCTGCCTGCCTCAGCCTCCCAAAGTGTTAGGATTAGACATGAGCCACTGCACCCAGCCTATTTTCTCATATTCTTTAAATATAATCACATAATGTAAGATACATGAATGATATAGACATGTGGACTCCTACATGAACTATCACTGGAAGGATACAATGGCTGAAAGCAATGGTTGACTCTGGGTGAGGAATCTGAGGATGGGTAACTGGGAGGCTGACTTCTTAATCTTTATCCTCTAGTATTACTTGTAATTTTTACCATACGCCTGCATGTCTTAGTCAATTGAAAGAAATTTCCATACAACTCCAACGACCCCTTGAGAACATACCCTCTGGAGTTGAAGACTCCTTTCTGCGGCTGGACGGCGGGGCCAGCAGGCTCATGGCACTGGGCTGGTGCTCTGGCGACCGCACGATGGCAGACATGGCGATCTGCTGCCTTGCAGTGGCTGGCGTGGATGGGTGTGGGTGGTCCGTCGCTTTGCGGTGGGCAGCTGCAGAGAGACCAAGACAATGTCCTTTGGTTAGCTGGGTCACCTAGAGGACCAAGCCAAGTGGATCATCCCTGGGCTGTCTTTCAAGGACCCGAGACTAAAAGAATATGCGTCACGTCAACTTGGCAACACACGGGGGCCATACGTTTTTCAGACATGGGATGTCTGGGCGGAAAGCGTATGGGCCGTAAACAGACACTGAACTAGACAGCCTTGTCTAGTTGATCTCAGTGAGATCAATCCTCTGCCTTTTCCACAGCATTGAGCACTTTGGAGAGAGCGAGCCCCTACCTTCCTCCCGGGCAGAACGGAGCTCAATGCGGGTCTTCTGAAGGGCTTCCTCTAGCTCTGCACAGCGAGCTTTCTCCTTCTCCAGGGCCAGCTTCAGCTCATTGTACTGCAGAGGAACCTGTGTGGGCAAAGCAGGGTCCTCTTTCCGTCGACTAAATAAACCCTAGCAATGGAAACAGAGATATCTCCTAACTCCTGGAAACTGGCACTTGAAACTAGCTAAAGGAAATCTGACTCGGGAGGAGCAAACCACAAAAGCCAGGAGCATACTCACTGTAAGTGTATTTAGTAAAAATGGCATGTGAAGGGGGGGAAGGGTAGGCTGAGCCACAGCCCGTTCCAGCCGGCTGAAAAAAATTGGGGTGCGGAAGTTTTCACCAAGAGGATTAAAGATGCTTGAATGGCCACTCTTCCTTTAGCATTGCCAAGACAGGAGAGTCATGTCCTGAGTCTTTCCCATTCAAAAAATGGAATCAGGAGAGTATGGTGTATGGAGTCAGGAGAGATGGTTCAGAGGTCACTCTTGCCTTGGAATATGCCTCATGATGCTCAGTTACAAGACACAGAGATGAGTGTTTTGTAAAAGGAAGCAAAATTTAAAAAGGAATGCTAAAATGAGATCAAAACAAGGGACTTACTAAAAAAGAATGCAAATGGAAATATTTACATAAAAAAAGGAAAACAGAATAATGCAACTTAAAAAAAAGTTAATTAAAAAAAAATACAAATGGAAACACCCTAACTAAATCAAGTGACATAACCAGATAACAGTTCACTGCTAAAATAAAAAAGATTAAATATCGTAAGCATAACAACCATATACAGTCATGCAGCATGCAAGAAAATCCTTCCCGTGCAGCCAATATCTAGCGGCAGGCAGCCTCTGAATGCTGGGCTCATCCCCTTAGAGGGAAGATGGCACCGGAAATACAGAGACCACTGTCGACTTCAGTCCTCCACTCCTTCCTCCTAGGTATTCTAAGTCATCAAGGCCTCCCCCGTAAAACCATTGCCACTGCCACTATGGTATGCTTCTGCATTTGGAAGGAAACTGCAAGCTCCTCCGAGACTTTTCTGGAACTGAGAACACCTGGCTAAACCTAGTATGAAGGCTTCAGTGGTTTGGAAAAGCATGTATTGATCAGGCTTATGAAAAACAATCTTCTCATGTGCACTACATATAACCCTGCCCCTAGTCTGTCATCTGTTTGTCTCTTACAATCTAAAAGGGATGTTTGGTACTTGGCAGAGGGGATAACTGTCCAGTCAGACACTACAGGCAGGTCACTCCAGTTCCCTGAGTTCTAGTCTCTTTGTGAGCCAATCAAAAGGACTGGACTAGACCACTGTTAAAGTCCTTTCTGGAGTGTGGTACAAGGACCTGAACTGCTGAGGCCCTATCCTCGTGACTTGCTAACTCCCTCTAGAGTCACGTAAGCATGACTTAGGTATAAATCTTTCTCTCTGCATACACCCCCTCTGCCCCAGCTGCTATGTGTATGTGTGGGCTGGGGAGGGATTACTTCTTTAACAGAGAAAGATACTACGATTTCAATGGCCATAAACAAAAAGTAGTTTGTTAGACTTGATCAACGATATCTTTTGATAAGACCTATTGTAATTGTCTCAAAATCTATTTTTCAACCCAAAATAAAACAAAAAAAAATGTGTACTTGGTTTTCTTCTTTGTTTCTATGATTGCATATCACAGTGGTGTCCACTGAACCATGAATGATGAGTGAAACTGACAACTCTCACTTCTCAAACACTTTGACTCACCTTTTTCTTTTTAGCAGGTTGGTCCATTTTGGCTTGCAGAAAATCAATGAGTTTGGTTTGTTGAGAAATAGTGCCTTCCATTTTCACCTTTTCATGAGAATAGAGAACCTAAAATTCAAAAAAACAAAATAACCTCAGACCCAGACAGAAGTATTTTTTAAAGCTGGGACTTTAAGAAACTAAAAAGTGAAGTTGTAAAGATATTAACATATGAAAATCCAACACAAACAGTACGGAGTCAGTATTTATTTAGTCCCAATTTTACTGCAAAGGAGAAAAAAAGATATATTTATAGATAAATAGGTGAAAAAGTAAAAATAGCAACTGGTTCATTGTAGGTCATGGTCACTATAGAAATCTTCCAACTTCTCTGAATGGTTGAAATCTTTGAAAATAAAATCTTGAGGAAAATACACAAAATAAGTAGCACAAAGATACTGATGCTTTTACCAGATGACTTTGCACCATTGTGCTTTGCCTCTGCAGACCTTGTTTATTTATATATTTATTTATTTATTTAGAGATAGAGTCTTGATCTGTTGACCAGACTAGAGTGCAATGGCACAATCTCGGCTCACTGCAACTCCACCTCCAGGGTTCGAGCCATTCTCCTGCCTCAGCCTCCCAAGTAGCTGGGACTACAGGCACCCGCCACCATGCCCAGCTAATTTTTATATTTTTAGTAGAGATGGGGTTTCACCATGTTGGTCAGGCTGGTCTCAAATGCCTGACCTCAGGTGATCCGCCCACCTCGGCTGGCCAAAGTGCTGGGATTACAGGCGTGAGCCACTGCGCCTGGCCATGCAGACCATTTTTCAGCAGATTCCCTTTGCCAGTCCTCACCTGAATGTTCTCTAGCTGATACTCCAGGTCACTTCTTTCTGTCTTCAGCAGATCAGCCCGATCTAGAGCTTCTTGCAGTCCTTGAGTCAGACGGAAAATGTGGTTTTTCTGCAGGTCCATCTGCTGCTGTAATTTGGCTTGCTAGTGGGGAGAAGGGCCAGGGAAATGCTTGATACTGCACACAATACAATTTGTTCCCCTGCTGTTCCTATTTCAAACTAATTTCAGGCATGGCACCAGAAGTACAGCTTTTGAAATCATTTCAATTCAGAATTACCAATTGTCATCTATTCCAAAAGGATGCAAGCACAGTTAAAATGAATTTGCACAGCACAGAAACCTCTGCTGGTCAACAAGTCTTAGGATCCCCACTGTCACAGAAGTCCAGACTCCAGGGTTGGCCTTCCCAGACAGAGTTCCAATTGAGGATATTTTGGTACTTAAGACCGTGAGCCATCAGAGTTGACATCTAAGGCAGTTCGACTCAGTGCTATGATAACTGAATTCCAATTTGCCTTTATTTTTTGTTTTCAAGATTTTGTCACTATGAGAAATTACTCTGTGCAGGTAGTGTGGGATATCCAAAGAGAAATCATATCATCCTTTACTTAATAAGTTCCCCAGCAGGGTGAAAGACCCCAACAAGTACACGAATAGTCACAGTCATGGGTGATATTTCTATGTTGGGAGAAAAGAAGAAGAAATCCCAGTTGCAGTACAGAGTGTTGATAGAACCAAGAAAAGAAATTCAATTGAGTATATGGAAAATAGTTTTGTGCTGCAAATCTCGCTCCAATTTTTTTTAATGGACGATAACCAGAAAATAGGACAGGTTATAAAGATGCTGGTTTCATGGCTCTTTTTCCTAAAACACATCCGTTTCTAAAAAAGCAGGAGAGACCAGGCATCCTCATGAGATGGTGCTTGATTTTATCCAAACCCTGGATTATAGCCTAACTACACTTACTGTGGCCCAAATAATCTCTTCCCTGGTAGCTTGGGCCCTCTGCAGAGTTAGGGACAGAGAGCTACTCAAAGCAATAAACATCACCACAGGTGATTCCAAAAGGTCTATGGCAGCCCTGAAAGCCCTCCATCCCAGCAGGCCCAGAGCCACTGATAATCTCAGAATTTCCTGACCCTCTCTGTCTCTTTGCTTCACTCTAGCTCTGTTTTTCTTTCCATTTATACTCCTCACCTCCCCTTCCTGTTAAGAGGTAGCTGATTCTCTAAGGCATCGTGTTGCAGCAGAAAGACCTGGATGCTGGACTCTAATAGACAGACCCTGGATTAAATCCTGACTTTCACACTTATCGTATCACTGATACCTGTTAAAGTCTGTATGTGTCACCTCCCAGAGCCTCCGTTTCTTCATCTGAAAGTGGGTATACTAGCTTGCCTCACATATTAAACACAGTGCCCAGTATATAGTAGGTGCTTAGTGAATGTCCTTTCCATTTCCTTTGTCCTTCTTTCTTCCCTCCATTCAGTTAAGGTGCTCCCTCTCATCCTCCCATCTGCCTTTCCCTACCAGTACTGCCACAAAGCTAGAGGTACCAACTAAAGATCACTTGGAGCCAGGCACAGTGGCTCACACCTAAAATCGCAGGACTTTAGGAGGCTGAGGTGGGAGGATTGCTTGAACCCGTGAGTTCAAAGTGGCAATGAGCTGATTATGCCACTGCATTCCAGCCTGGGTGACACAGCAAGTCGCTGTCTCCAAAAAAATAAAAACAAAAATAAAAGACCATTTGGCCCATATGCATAACCTGGAATTTCTGAATCAAACCACAGAGCCCCCCTACAATACAGGAAAAAAGGAAAGAAAACAGCTAAGATACCCTCCTCCGCAGCATGAGTGATTTCTTCTGCAAATTACCCTCTTTAGTTTCTTCCCACTATTTTAGGACAACATTAATTACTAGGCAGAAACCAGAGAAACAAGTGCTGGGGACGAGAATCTGTTTGGTGACAGCCAAGCCCAAAATATTTTTCTAGAATAAACGCATCAACTGTCCATTAGCTTTCCAAGAAATAGGCTGGTTATTCACAAAAAAAAAAAAAAAAAAAAAAAAAAGTAAGAGAGGCATTTGTATTCTGAAATGTTTTTCAGAACCACTTACCTGCTTCCCAGAGAGAAGCAAACAGAGGCATGTTCATGGGTCAGTGTTAGACTGAAAGGGGGGCCTTAGCTGTGTGTTTAGACCTGTCCAACAATTTTTACAAGGGTGACAGAAAACAGAGAAAAAAGGGGCTGGATAACAGAACAAGACCATGAAACAACCCCTGTGGGCTGGAAGACTGGATCAAGACTAACATGAAAAACTTCAATAGGATGGTGTTTTTTACATTGCCAACTGAATAAATATAGAACATAAAGATGTTCGTAAGAAAAAGCAAATTTGTGGATAGGTAGGTAGTGATTTACTTATTTATTTATTTTTTTTTAATTTTTTTGAGAAGCAGTTTCGCTCTTGTTGTCCAGGCTGGAGTGCAGTAGTGCAATCTCAGCTCACTGCAACCTCTGCCTCCCAGGTTCAATCGATTCTCCTGCCTCAGCCTCTCGAGTAGCTGGGACTACAGGCATGTGTCACCACACCCAGCTAGTTTTTTGTATTTTCAGTTGAGAAGGGGTTTCACCATGTTTACCAGGATGGTCTCGATCTCCTGACTTCGTGATCTGCCCACCTTGGCCTCCCAAAGTGCTGGGATTACAGGCATGAACCACCACGCCTAGCCAGGTAGTGATTTAACAGATCAATGGTGTCAGTGTTGTAATCAAAACTACTCAAAGAGCCCAAGTAATTGCCAGAGCTTTAGAGCCCAGTATGGAGGTGAAAAGATACCAATGTATTCAGTGCTATTCAGACCACATGGACTTATAGAAACTCCCCGTGGAAAGACAAATCTACCAGAAAAGAACATCCAAAGCTTGAGGGGGATCTAAAATGTTTCACTTAAAAAAGAGAAGCTGACCAGGCACAGCGTCTCACTCTTGTAATCCCAGCAATTTGGGAGGCCAAGGCGGGAGGATCACTTGAGCCCAGGAGTTTGAGACCGGCCTGGGCAACATAGGCAGACCCCGTCTCTACAAAAAAACTTGAAAAAATAAAAGAGAAGGCAACTTGGAGTGGAAAAGCTATTTGGATCTCTAGTTGACTGTCACAGAGATAATAAAACCAGTTATCTCACAGGAACAGTGCAAGGATCGTAAGAGTTAACTCACGTAAAGTACTCAGAGAGTCACATGGTAAGTGCTAACTAAACATTAGTTAAATTGTTAATCAAGTAATCCATTTTTTTTTTTTTTTTTGAGACCGAGTTTTGCTCTTGTTACTCAGGCTGGAGTGCAATGGCGCGATCTTGGCTCACTGCAACATTTGCCTCCTGGGTTCAGGCAATTCTCCTGCCTCAGCCTCCTGAGTAGCTGGGATTACAGGCATGCGCCACCATGCCCAGCTGATTTTTTGTATTTTTAGTAGAGACGGGGTTTCACCGTGCTGATCAGGATGGTCTCGATCTCTTGACCTCGTGATCCACATGCCTCGGCCTCCCAAAGCGCTGGGATTACAGGCGTGAGCCACCACACCCGGCCCTCAGGTAATCTATTAATCAATATTAATTTCTCATTTTGGCTGGAGATATCAGACTACGTTCTAATTTCACGTCTTTCAACATAAAAGAACCAATGGGTAAAAGTAGAAGGTTTTAATTCAAAATAAGAATGTTCTAAGAATGAGAGTTGCTGAAAAATGAGTTGGGATATCCAAAGTCACTGTAAGTATTTAGGCCAAGGTTCAACAGCATCTACCTATGATGAGTGTTGGGGAAGGGATTTTCTACCTTGGATGAAGATGAATTTGACCAGGATTGGCAAATGGGTTTTGATCACTGGTGCTACTTCCAATGAACTGATAGTGGCTGTAAAGTGTCATGTTGAGAAAACTTCTGAAGCCATTTTGGGCCCAGGAGGAAAAAATGTGAAAGAAAGATCCATTAGTAAAGTTTGCCAGGAGCAGAGATAAAGGGAATAGTGCTAGAA